GAAATTATATTAGAGAAGTGGCACATGAATATATTCTCTGTGAAAGAGTCAACAATATGTAAATGTAAGATGAAAGTGAATTTCCTCCCCTAGTTCTTCCTACTCTACTCCTTCCAGAAGGAATAGTAATCTCTATTTCTTTTTCATTTATACACACTCTCATTTATACATTTATACATAGGCCTTGAACAACTTTCAGGTCAGTACCAAACAGGTCTAACAAACATTTTTAGTGGCTTTATGGTTTTTCTGAGTATGTCACAATTTAGTGCTTCCGAGAGTAATCTGGGAACTTGTTAGAACACAGGTTGCGGAGGCCATCCTTAAGTGTCCCAAGTTGAAAACCAAGTACTGTCATCACTCCCCCTGTCTGTATGAACACCCTGTCCATATCTCTGAGCATTTAAGGGAGAGTTCGATATGATTAAATTTCTAGCTGTGGAAATGATGAGTCAAGTGAAATTCGCAGCATTAATTTTAATAATATGGCCAAACTGAATTTTAACATTGCAGTGCTTCCTCACCCTCACAGGCAGTGCTTGTGTATGCTGTCTGTTCCCTCCCCATCGCCCATGGCAAACACTGCCTAAGACTTTCACCACTCTGATGTATGAGACACTTCATTATTATTATTTTTTGAGATGGAGTCTTACTATCACCCAGGCTGGAGTGCAGTGGTGTGATCTCGGCTCACTGCAACCTCTGCCTCCCCGGTTCAAGCGATTCTCTTGCCTTGGTCTCCCAAGAGGCTGAGATTACAGGCGCCTGCCACACCTGGCTAGTTTTTGTATTTTTAATAGAGACAAGAGTTTCACCACGTTGGCCAGGCTGGTCTTAAGCTCTGACCTCAATTGATCCTCCTGCCTTGGCCTCCCAAAATGTTGGGATTACAGGCGTGAGCCACCGTGCCTGGCTGACACTTCATTATTTGAATTTTAATTAATTATGAAAGGAGCTGAACAATGAGTGTCTTCTTTTTCTGTAAATGAACTTTTTATTTTGTAATTACTTTAGATTTACAGAAATGTAAAGGTAGTATCGAGCTCCTATGTGCTCCTTACCAGCTTCCTCCAAAGTGAACATACGTAACTGGCACATATGCCCAAACAAAACATTAGTATACTACCATTAACTGAACTTCAGGTTTTATTTGGATTTTACCGTTTTCCTACCAATGTCCGTGGAATCCAAGATCCCACATTACATTGAATCATCGTATCTCCTTAGGGTTCCTTGATCTGTGACACTTCCTCAGTTTATCCTTGTCTTCCATGACCATGGCGGTTTTGAAGTCCCGGTTAGATAGTGTGAACTGTCCCTCAGTTTGTGTTTAATGTTCTCTAATGATTAGAAAGGGCTTATGGGTTGGAAGGAAACGCCACAGAGGTGAAGTGTCCTTCTCATCATGCCATGCCATATCGGGTATGGTATCACATACTTTCATAGTAAGGAAAATTCCAAACACACATAAAAATAGCAAGAGTAGAGTAAGAACTTATTACATGGTACTCCACAATTACCAATGCTTTTCTACCAATGCTGTTTCTGGATAGCTTTTCAATATGGTTGGAAGACATTTTCATTTCACTTTTCTGTCCTCTTCTTCATCCGTCCTTCTTCCCTCCCTTCCTCTATCCTTCTTTTTTTTTCTCGAGATGGAGTTTCATTCTTGTTGCCCAGGCTGCAGTACGATGGCGTGATGGGCCTACCGAAACCTCTGCCTCCTGGGTTCAAGCAATTTTCCTGTCCCAGCTTCCTGAGTAGCTGGGATTGCAGCTGCATGCCACCATGCCTGGCTAATTTTTGGTATTTTTAATAGAGATGGGGTTTTACCATGTTGGCCAAACTGGTCTCGAACTCCTAACCTCAGGTGATCTGCCTACCTCAGCCTCCTAAAGTGGTGGGATTACAGGCGTCAGCCACTGCGCTCAGCCTATCCTTCCTTTTTAACACAAAAGGGGAAAGCACTAAGTGTTGGCAATCTATATGGGACCTCCCTTTTTAAAACACAAAAGGGGAAAGCACTAAGTGTTGGCATTCTATATGGAAGAGCATAACACATCTAATTAAATTGCTCCCTCTCTTGGCTCCAACTGTCATAACAAAATACCATAGACTGTGGCTTAAACCACAGACATTTGTTTCTCATGGTTCTTTTCCAGCCTTCTCTTCTTCCAGCCTCCTCAGATGGGAACGCTCTCCTCTGCATTTCCACTGTTAGCCCCCATATTGTTGTTTTTTTGTTTTTTTTTTTGAGACGGAGTCTCGATGTCACCCACGCTGGAATGCAGTGGCAGAATTTCTGCTCAATGCAGCCTCCACTTCTTTGGTTCAAGGAATTCTCCTGCCTCAGCCTCCTAAGTAGCCGGGACTATAGGCGCATACCACCACACCCGACTATTTTTTGTATTTTTAGTAGAGACGGGGTTTCACCATGTTGGCTAGGCTGGTCTTGAACTCCTGGCCTCAGGTGATCCACCTGCCTCAGCCTCCCAAAGTGCTGGGATTACAGACATGAGCCACCATGCCTGGCCCCCCATATTTCTTTCAAAGCACCAGAGTTGAGGGGAAATGGCATGGTCTGCCCAGGTGCTCTTGTCTGTGGATTTAAAACAATCATAAAACCAAATTGGATTAAAAAAAAATTTTTTTTGAGACAGGGTCTGGCTCTGTCACCCAGCCGGAGTGCAGTGGTATGATCTCAGCTCACTGCAACCTGTACTTCCTGAGCTCAAATGATCCTCCAACCTGACTTCTTAGTAGCTGGAACTACAGGTGTATACCACCATGCTTGGGCTATTTTTTTTTCTTTTCTTTTCTTTTTTTTTGTAGAGATGAGTTTCACCATGTTGGCCAGGCTGGTCTTGAACTCCTGAGCTCAAAGCGATCCACTCACTTGGGTCTCCCAAACTGTTGGGATTACAAGTGTGAGCCACCATCCCCAGCCTGGATCTGCTTTTTGTCATCACTATATAATGGCAATTTTAAACTTATCAGGGATATAATACTCCTCCATGGGGGAAAAATCAAGATACAGAACATTTCCAGCACCTCAGAGGCTTACTGAAGGAAATATTTTAATGCTTAGTAAATTATTTAATCTTACCCCAACTCTCCTTTTGCAGGGTGCTGAGAAACTCAACTGCAGTCATGTTTAAGCTCAGCTGGCCTTGTAGAGGCATGGGAAGGACTGAATTTTGTGAGCCCTAAGGTCCTTTCTTGCTCTTGTGGGGGCTGCTTACCTACAGGAGTGGCTGTTTCTGCCCCTGTTTCTCAACCATCACTGTGGAGGGTCCTGAGCAACATCCTATCCAGCTTCCCCCTCCCCTCCTTTTTCCTTTCCCTTTTGTTTTTTTGACAGAGTCTCGCTCTGTCGCCCAGGATAAAGAGATTCTTCAGCCTCAGCCTTCTGAGTATCGGGGACTACAGGCTCATGCCATCATGGCCAGCTAATTTTTGTATTTTTAGTAGAGATGGGGTTTCACCATATTGGTCAGGCTGGTCTCCAACTCCTGACCTCATGATCTGCCCGTCTCAGCCTCCCAAAGTGCTGGAATTACAGGTGTGAGCCACCACACCCAGCCTCCCACACTTTTTTTTTTTTTTTTTTTTTGAGACAGGATCTTACTTTGTCACCCAGGTTAGAGTGCAGTGGCTTGATCAGGGCTCACTGCAGCCTCAACCTCCTGGGCGCATTTCCCGGACACAAGCCATCCTCCCGCCTCAGCCCCACAAGTAGCTGGGGCTACAGGCACAGCTGCCATGCCCAACTAATATTTTATAGAGATGGGGTTTCATCATGTTGCCCAGGCTGGTTTGGAATTTTTAAGCTCAAGCAATCCGCCCACCTGAGCCTCCTAGAATGCTAGGATTACAGGCGTGAGTTACCATGCCTGGCCCCAGCCTCTCTTTTGAGGCCTAAAACGGGGAAAAGAGATGCTCACTCAAAGCCTTCAGCTCATTTTCCTGATTCTCTGGCCTGATTTCACTACAATTCCCAAGGCCTGGCAAGGTGGCCAACCGTTCTGAAAGTTGGGTCTGCAGGTCCTACCTTCTTTGTGAACAACACAACTGCAGATGCTTCACCATGTATACGTCAACCAATGCAATATATTGCAGCAGACCGAATGCCAAAGCACATGTGAGAATCTATTAGGTCAGATTTTTAAAAGATTTGCAAAAGTGTAAAACCATACCATTCCTTTATTTTGGTGGTGGGCGAGGTATATATATTTCCTTTTTTTCTTTTTTTGAGACGGAGTCTGTCACCCTGACTGTAGTGCAATGGCGCGATCTTGGCTCACCACAATCTCCACTCCCTGCGTTCAAGTGATTCTCTTGCCTCAGCTTCCCGAGTAGCTAGGATTACAGGGGTTCACTGTAAGGCCCGTTGCCTCGCTGGGAGCTCGGACACGCCCATCCCTCGCCACTACGTCACCACTCCGCGATCGACATCAACCTCTGCTCCCGGCACCTACCCCGCCATTGGAAAACCCCACAAAGTTTAAAAGAAGCCCCGACAAAACCTGCCCAATAGCATTTTGCTCTGTCCAGGTCCCACTCCCCCTGGGCGGCCCGCTCACCAGAAACCCCGCCTCCCTACCAATAGCAGCTTGCCCCAACCACGTCCGGTTTCCACACAACCAATCAAAACGCCTTCACTCCCTATAAAACCCCACGCCCAGAAACGCCAAGCGCGACTTCCCTGGCCCCTTTCCACGGGTCCATGGAACTTTGCCCGAGTTAAATAAATAGGCATTTAATTTTTTTTATGCTGGTCTCAGTCTCCTCATTCTAAACTCGGCAATAACCCTTACATTCACCACCACACCTGGCTAATTTTTGTAATTTTAGTAGAGACAGGGTTTCACCATGTTGGCTAGGCGGGTCTTTAACCCCTAACCTCAGGTGATCCACCCGCCTCGGCCTCCCAAAGTGCTGGGATTACAGGCGTAAGCCACCGCACCTGGCCATTTACTTTTAAACAGCAACAAAAAAACTTTAAAGCATTTTAACTTATAGTATGGTAACATCGACAGCTATAATCCACATTAGTAAAAGCTTGGGGCCCTCAATCATTTTTACGAGTATAAATTGGTCTTGAGACTAAGAGTTTGGGAAATGCGGTAGCTCTACGAGGCTGTGCCATTCTTGACGCCGAATCAGTGAATTTCGGAGAAGGAAGGTCGTCAGCCCGCCGCCTCATCGCCAAGCTGGAGCCTCGCGCTCCAAATGCGTCCTTCGAAGTCTTCGGCAAAAGCGGGACTGGGGAGTCCAGTCGTGTCGCCAAGCCACGTTTCCTCGCGTGGAAAGCTGGACAATGTTTTCTACCTCACAGGACCACCGAAATGACTGCATTAGGTATCCCCAGAAATGTGCGATGAGTCACATCCTGTTCTACAGAAGAAAAAGCTGAAGCTCAGAGATGCCAAGAGCTTTGCTGGGGTCCCGCGACTAACTGGTTCCAAGACCCAGACACCCTAGCTACCCGGACGCTACAGGTCACAACCCTGCGTCGAACAGCCGCCGGATCCTCCCGCCAGCTACACATCCGGCGCCCAGGCCGGAAGCTTTCCTTCCGGTTCCCAAGACCGCGCTCCGGAAATGAGTCACTCTACCAGTACCTAAGATGGCCGCCAACCTAGCCACCGCCGCGATCACTGGAAGGGACGTGTTGACGAACCCGGAAGTTGCCCAACTCCGCCATGGCAGGCGCTGAGGGCGCCGGGGGCGTGGCTTCCGGCGGCCACAGTCTGTGAGTCGCGGCGGCGGGGTCCAGCCGGGGCGGCAGCTGACAGACGCTCCTCCCCCGACGGCAGCCGCTGGTGCCCAGCTAGGCGGGCGGCCCCCAGCTCGCGTCCCCGCGTCCCAGCCCGCGAGGCGCCAGGGCTGCGCCAGGGCATGGAAGAGGGGAAGATGGACGAGAATGAATGGGGGTACCACGGAGAAGGCAATAAGAGCTTGGTGGTGGCCCACGCGCAGGTGAGTGGCGGAGGTACCGCGCAGGTCCCGGACCTCACTCAGATGGCCGGGATTATCCCGTCCCCATTATCCCTTTCCCCAGCAAGGTCGGTTCCACGTTCCCTACCGTACCTCTCTCCTCCCCAGCCGTTCTTCATTCTCCCACCCTCCAGCATCCCCCCCAATTCCGTGAGTTCCTCATCACCCCAGCGTCTCCTCTCTACTGGGTCAGTCTCGTTCCCCCAGGTCCTTCCTTCTCCCGATCCGTCTCTCGTTCCCTCAGTATTCCCCCTCTCTGTCAGAATCAGTTCCTTGTCCCCCTCGCCGCCCCATCGGTGCCGCGCGCAGCCTCACGCGGTGTCGCCTCCCGCCTGGGTGCCCGCGGGACTGCCAGGCCGCAGTGGGGCGGAGGCTTAGCTGGGCAGAGGGCTCGGGCAGCACTGGAGGAAGAAGCAAAGTGCCCGTGGTGCTGTTATTCTCAGCATCAAAAGAGTTCAGCCTCTTGAAACTACGGAGTTGCTGTTCTTGCTGCTGTTAATAGTAAGGGTACGTGGTCCACAGGTCCCCTTCTCAACCTTTTGGAATTTGAAGAAACCTGAATTCAATGATGGTGAAAGTTTTAGAAACTGCAGTAAGAAGTCGCAAAGGTGAATCCAAGAGTGAAGCATGTGGGTTTGTGTGAGTGCTCAGATCTCTCTGACCTTTTTGCTGCCTGGTACAATCACGCCGGAATGCGGCCGGTTGGGGGTGGGGGAGGAGGGTGAGGGGGGCGGGGAATAGGTGTCATGTAGGGAGGAGTTAGAGCCTGGGTGTTAAAGGCACAGAAATCTCAGTTCTATCACTGCATGGTGGAGGCTCAGTGTCTATATTTTTAAAGTGGAACTAGTAATAGAACTCACTTTGTGGGATTGTTGGAAAGATCAGTTAAGGAAGAACCCATCAAGTTATGCTTAGCAAGTGATAATTGTCATACCCTTGGACACATAGATAAAGTGAAAATAAGAGAGGTTAAGGGCACTGGCCCAGTCCAACAGCTTGTCAGGGATGGTGTAGGTGGTGGAGTACTGCCTTGCTTCTGTTGTTTCTCTGCTGGATGCATTGGTCAGCTGCAGTGTAAGCCGCAAACATCCAGGTAGTCCGAGGTTCTGCTTTTGGGTTTTGCTACTCATTAGCACAGGGAACTAAAGAACAGAGACTACAGGCTTTGCTCAAGATCTTTAGGTGAATATAATGGACCAGGCTAACCTGAAGCCACCCTTCTCTTGTGTAGTCCAAGACTGGGCAAAGTGAGGGATGTTTCCTCGTGACTCCGTTTTGTTGTTGGATTACTGTGCCAATCTCCTGAATCCTTTCCCAAAACAAATGCTGATCTTCCAATTCCTTTGTAAGATTAGATGTATCTCTGCATTTTAGGTAAACCCAAGGCGTTCTTTAGTGAGGGCTGATATATTAAGTTTCAAAAGTGGTGGCAGATGTAGCAGCAATTTTCAGGCTTGGAGCAAAAGGACACCCATGTTGAAAGGGCAGAGGCTTTGAGGAAGTTGCCTCTGGCATTTGGATCTCTCTGTATGTCCCTGACAAGTATGTGTCCACCCTCTTCCCTGAGCAGGCATCTCCAGGGCATCCTGGCCCTCCCCTGTTGCACAGTTCTGATTGTAATGATTGTTTCTTTTTTCTTTCACATTTTCAAATTTACCTACAGCTGCCAGGCTATTCTAGACCTATGCTACTCATGCTTTTTTTTTTTTTTTTTTTTTTTTTATTTTAGATGGGGTCTCGCTCTGTCTCCCATGCTGGAGTGCAGTGGCCCAATCTCGGCCCACTGCAACCTCTGCCTCCTGAGTTCAAGCAATTTTCCTGCCTCAGCCTCCCAAGTAGCTGGAAATACAGGCGCCTGCCACCATGCCTGGCTAATTTTTTTGTATTTTTAGTAGAGATGGGTTTCACCATGTTGGCCAGGCTAATTTCAAACTCCTGACCTCAAATGATCTGCCCGCCTTGGCCTCCCAAAGTGCTAGGATTACAGGTGTAAGCCACTGTACCCAGCCTCGTTCTTTATTTTAAATCTAAATTTGCTTTACCATGCTAATTTCTGCTTGGTTGTTGTTTTTAGCTTATCATTTGAAATTGAAGATTATCACTGCACCTAGTCTCATAAGAAAATGTTTCCCATCAAGTTAAGGTCAGACAGAGCCTCTGCCTGATATAGTAACCTGAACCAAGCCTGGCCCACCAGCTCTGTCCTGTGGCATATTTGCTTAGGCTGTAGACCGAGGAGGAGAGAGCAATTCCTGAAAGGCAGCTTTTTAGGACCTGTTGAGTTCGAGCAGACAGTGTGTGTCAGTGGGATAGAAGACGGGTGAGGGAGAACAGGAGGAGTCTGTGGTCTCGTCCCAGGGATGCTGAGCGTGTACACAGCCTCCCTCCAGCTGGGTGTGGGGGCAGGTGGACCCTGCTACTCTGCTCAGCTCCTTAGATCCACCTCATTCAGTCCAAGAGAGAGGGAGGCCTTTGCCAAGTTTTTCCAGATAAGGAGAGTGTTGCTTTCTCTGAGAGGGCATCAGCTCTTCTCACAATTGAAAGGTCCATAATGAGTCCTGTGCTGACTGCCATCCCCTCCACTGTGAGAACATGCTGCATCTTCAGCCAGCCTGAGCCCGTCGTGCAGGAGCTGAGGGTCTAGGTAAGGAGATCTGCATGGTCATTGGCTATCAGCACTAAAAGGAGCGTGTGTGATGTTCTCTCTGTGGTATACAAACATGGGATGAGAGAGAGTTTTCTGTGGAGCACAGGACTTGTAGGAAATGGGGCCTGGGGATAGGTGTGGGCTGCAGGAGGGTGGGCAGGAAGGTAAGCAGCAGGCCAACCATAGAGAGGCATTTAAAGGTGTTCCTGACAGAAGGTGGTCAGCTTCCCCAAGGCCCTTCCTCTCAGAGATGGCCCAGGACGATTCTCATTTTGCCTGTCAGTTTGCATTCTGCCTCTGTTTGGGATGGTTGTGCACCTGAACTTTCCCAGGTTCAGGTAACCACGATATTCTCTGCCTTGTGTGGCACAGACCCTGTGGCATGCTTGAGAGGCTCTCAGCAGCCTGGCATGTCCCCTGGTGGGTGTCTGGAACTCCAGACACTTACCCCATGGAGGCTCCTTGGGCAGGGGCACTTCCCATCTGGACACAGTTTCCTCACTGCAGACCGAAGGTATAGTACTTGGGCTAGTAGCCACATCTCAGGTTAGTGAAGTTCACAGGCTGCCCCTTTATGCACTGCCGCTGGATTTCTCTCCTGTGTGGCACCTGCACCTGCCTCCTTCACCTTCAGCTGGTTGGTTTTGGCTCAGTGCCCTGTCCTGTGAAGGTCATTTTAGGTTTGGTTTGTCATTCCATCTCCTAGGTGTCCAGATCTGGATCATGTGCTTGCCTGGGGCACTGACTCCCTTCCAGAACACCTCAGCCTTGGGGAGCAGAGGCGGAAGGTGGCCCACTCCCGTCATGACACTAAGCTGTCACGATGTTTTCCGTCTTACTGACAGAGGTAACATGGAAGACTTTGCCATTTAGTCAGCTTACCAACAAAGAACATTGATCACATGTGTGGACAAAGCTGCTCACTTCCAGTTGTTCCAGTTTTGTAAACTTTCCGAGTCTGAGAGCTTCAGACCATTTTTGCAAATTGTTTTGGTGCCTGGGGAGATTTGGTGTCTTTTTGGCACCTGTTTGGTGCCTGGGGTATTTGGGCATTGAAGGTGTGAAGTTCAAGCAGTCAGGTACCCTTTTACTGTTTCTGTTCTCATCTTGTGTTTTAAGATTTCTGGTTCATAGATCATATATATATATATGTTTTTTTTTTTGCCATACAGCATTATTTTGTGTATTAAAATTTTAATAATTTAGATGATTATTTTGTAGTGGATGGATTAAGTAAAGGATACTAGATTCCACTTCATATGTGGAAGTGTTTACAATGTTACATAGAAAAAGCAGGTTACAAAAGAAGATGGATAATGTGATTATAATTATAAAATAACTGGAAGAAAATACATGAAAATGTTCTAAGTGGCTATAACTGTGATAGTATCATGAATCACTTACCCTTTTTTTTGTTTTTTAAATATTTTCTAAATTTCCTACAATGGATATGTATGATACTCGGGAAAAAAGATTAATTTCTGAAAAGTTTATGCTCTTTGATTTACTAATTTCTGTTCTAGCAGTCTGTTCTAAGGAGATAATTAGAAACATAAATAAAGATCTCGTACACAAAGATATCCATTACAGAATCAACTTAGAACAGGTTAGGTGGAAAGCCGCTGTCCAGTCCTTTAGGACTGTTAATTGGGTCATACTTCCTGCTGTGGATGCTGGAAGCACATACGTTTATGACCCCGGTTTTTTCCAGCTGTATAATATATTCCCCCAGACCAGGGCCACTCCCTTTTAAAGTTTTTAGCTGGACCTAGTTGAAATAGCCTTAGCTTTCCATTACAGCCAGCATTTTGTTTAAACCAGTGACGTATTCTTCATTTGGGATTTTTAATGGTGGTGTTCTAGGCTGATGCAGCTGATGTGGCTTCTGTCCTAGGAAGTTCCTCCTTGTCTCATCAGAGCTCATTGGAGAGCTGTGCTTGTGGCTCCCTCTTTGTTTATTCCTTTCTTTGTATCTGCAGTTGTGTGATGAGGTCTGCTTTTTGGTGACTGTCAGCCCTGTGACGGTGCGTCTCTGGCACTTGGGGGTTTGTCGGTTTGGCCTGGGCTCACTTCCTACTTTTATACCTTCTGAGGTGACATGTCCACT